ATATCTTCATGGAATATCAAAATTGTTTCCGGTTAGAATTTGGGCGTGACATGAATTCTTCGATGAACATAATAGAGTTATAATTAAAGTGTACATTAAGAAAAATTCTATTTGGAATGCTTTTTGAATCCTATTCGAAGTCCATTCAAAAATTCTAGTTGAAGTTCTATATGGAAGTGCTATTGGGAGTTAGAATTTGTGTTAAACTTAAAGAAATCAAGATAATGAAACTTTTGGGCATTCTATTTCATCTACAACTTTAATTCTAGGCCTTGGGTTGTCCCTATATCTATTTGACTCTTTTTCCTGTTTATGTATTGCTGAAATTGTATTTTTCTCTCCATTGATTGTCAATTAATAAAATTACTCGATTTCTCTGCCAGTCTCTTTTTGCTTTAATCTTATTTTTGCTTGTGCGATTAATACTTCATATCGTGTCATACCTACCTCTTCTTTTTCAACAAGTGGTATTAAAGCTATTGTTGTGATTTTGTTAGAGGTTTTCTGTTATCGATGGCAACCATGAAGCACAAAATTTCGCTTTTGAATTGCAATATAAGATTTTCATTGTGGTAAGTGAAGATGATAGTTGTATTAGCACAGATGGATTTCGATGATACGTTGTTGGGATTTCACAAAATACCCACAACTTGGATAACAAATGAAAAAAATAAAAATAAAAGGAAGGATCGGAATGCACTTTCACAGATTCATCTTCATTTCTCTAACATTATTCTTCAAGACATTTTGAAAGAGAAAATAGCAGCTGCTTTGTGGTTGAAGCTGGAGCAATTATATATGACCAAAAGTCTAACAAACAAATTACATCTGAAGCAAATATTGTATTCTCATAGCATGGCAAAAGGAGGATGTTTGGATGATCATCTCGCTGTGTTCAATAGATCGTCAATGATGTAGAAAAATTAAAGGTAAAGTATGATGAAGAAGATTTGGCCTTAATCATGCTATGTTCGCTACTCTCTTCGTTTACTTCGTTTAGGGACAAGATTTTGTATAGTCATGATATTCTCAAAATTGAAGACGTATATAATGTTATGTTCTCAAAGGAGGAGATGAAGCATCTAATTGAATCAAAAGTCCAGAGGTAAAAAAGCTCTTGTGATTCATGGTGATCAACGAAGGAATAAGTTGATAGTGAATTTCAGCATTCAAGTTTGTTTCTATTGCTAGAAAAAAGGATACGTTAAGAGAGATGAAAAAAAATTGCTAAAAAAGGTACTTCAGCTGCAAATCATTGCAATTCTTAATGGGTCTTTAAAAATAAAAATAATAATAAAAAAAAGGGCCTAATATAGAAGAGGCTTGGAATCTAAAAACAAAAAAAATGGCCCAAGAATACACCTTCCCCTTCTGCGAGCACGCGTGTGTTTTGTTTTGTTTTGTTTTTTTTTTTTTTTGTGCGTCTAGTCATCAATTAATAATCCAAAACTTTAAAAAAAAATGATAATAAAAGTTATTTGGGTTGGGCCCAAATTCTTTATAAGGTTTGGGAATTATGATACAGCCAACATTTTTTAATTGGGTCTGAGGCAGCCCAAAATCGGGCCTAGATTGGTGAGCTTTTTGCAACTTTCTCTAAATGTTGCTAAAGGAAAATTTTTCTAACGTTTTATAAACGTTGCAAAAGAGAAAGTTGTCTGCAACATTTTGTAAACATTGTGAAAGAGTTGTTTACAATGATATATAAACATTGCTAAAGGGAAAGCTTTTTGCTACGTTTTATAATATTTGCGAAAGAGAAACCTTCTTTTCAACATTTTATAAACGTTGTGAAGGAAAAATCTATTTTTAACATTTGACAAACGTAGCGAAAGCCTAAGTATCCGCAATAGTCTATGAATATTGTTATAGGACAAACTTTTAACAATGTTCATTAAGCATTGCGAAAAATAAAATTTTTCGCAACACTAAATAAATGTTGCAAAAATGCAACATTAGCAACGTTTGATTAAAAAATGTTGTCAAAGCTCAATTATGTTCAGGAATGACAATAGTCACATATTAAAATGTTACGATAGACCCTTTTACTAACATATAATTAACTAATGTATTTTGCATGTTGCAAAAAGACATTTTTGTTGTAGTGTATAACAGGTCACACATCACAATACATAGGACACACGTTTTTTGGGAAAATAAATTCGTAGATGTCACACGATTGAATTGTAGAGATCACAATCATTAAATTCCATTTGTATTATCACACATGTTACTATACATGAATTACATAGGTCACAATTGTTGTATTTCATAATTTAAGCCACAATGTTAAATGTCACATTAACAAAGTCACAAATAAACAATTTTGTATGTCACACTAAAAATAGAATTTCAAATGCCTCCATTTTGTCACAACTACGAATAGATATCTAATTATCGATGAAAGTAAAACGATTTCCTATTGTGACATAGAGAATGATGACTTTGACTGCATAATACGTGGAGGAATCTATGAATTCATGGACATACAATTTATTCTTTAGCATGTCACAAGTGAATTGATGCGATAACATTGAGGAAATCATCTGGATACCAACAACAATATTCATCTCAAGGTACAAATAATTATGTATGCAAAATTTAATTGAATATTAATTGTTTCTTCATGGTTTATTTATAGAAACTGATGAACTCCACAAAAAGCAATTTTGTTTAAATTGAATTTTGAACAACATTTAACATAATCTCGCTAACTACGAGGATTGTTAGGTCAAACTTGTAATTGACAATATCTAAATTAGTTATTGGCAGTTTCAGTATTAAAAATCATGAGTTATTGTATAGAGTCACAAGAGTATAGGGTTGGTATTGTAGTCTTTGAAGGAGTTAAAGGGATCAAAGATTGACCAAGGAGAAAAAAGCCGACGCGTTTACCACTTGTTGTACACGTACCTCGCATTCGAGCACTCATAGTAGGACCATTGGTTCTCAATCTTCGCGACCTAGGCACTCGAGCGGTGGACTCACCTCTCGACGGATGCAGGGAATTTTGCTCAAGTGTCAGATCGAATTCCACGAACCCAGTTCACGTAAAACGGTGATTTTAATTTGAATCCCTTTTACACCCAAACACTTCCATTATAAATGTATAGGAACGTCCCAATGTATGTTGATTCATTATAGAAATCACATTCTTAAAAATCAATAACAATTTCAAAGATCTCTAGATTCAACCATTTGATTTATTTTTCATAAATTAATCACAAACCTTATTACATTGGTTGAGCCTTGTTTTAAGTCAAAAGAATATTCATTGAAGTTCAAATCCATATATCCATAAATCTCTTGCCTTAGTCATAGATCAAACACAAGAGATCATTTGATCAATTACCAAACAAGAGAAGAGACGCTCGGAGTTCTAACGCTCTGAACATGCTCATTATTTGTGATCCACGTGGAGAGAAAAGTAGCCCAGATTTGTTGAAAAATGCAAGTCGTACAACCAAATAAGCTCTTGGCGATTTACAAGTTGGTGACCATAGCAATGATGGTTTAATAGTGTATGGACTAATTGTAATTTAATTTTTCTAGTGGATTTTACTGGCAAGTTCGTATAGAGATTTTTTATTCTGAAAAAGGGTTTTTCTCTGTGATTATATCTAGTGTTATTTACTTTATTGTTTTTTAAATTTTAATATTAATGTGATTGTTAACTTAGGGGTTAATTGGATTAATTACCTTAATCATCTAAAAAATAATAATTAAATGGCTTGTTGCTTGTTATTGATTAATTCCTCATATATTAATCTAGATATTTCCCAACAAGGATCTAACCTATTGATTTTGGGGATGGACTAGTAGAAGAAACGAAATAGGAAGAGAAATGGAACAATGTAGATATATGCATTCTTGCGAGGGCAAAAAAATAAAGAAAAATGATGAATAAGAAGAGATGGCTAGTACTTGAATGATCCATGCCCATCACGTATTTCCATTTCAAATGGTGTATTTTCTCTAATGGTATCTCTTCCATTATTGTTTTGGCTTTAGTCGATAATAATATTTTTATGAGTATTAGGGTTTTAGTTAAACACAAATTCGAAAACAATATTAAATGATCCAAAAGAATTTTTATTTAAATAAATAAATTTACATAAAGTTAAAAATATTAACTTTCTTTTTAGAAGTAGATATATATCCATTTTAATTTGTTGTAAATGTTTTGATAGTAATATAACTCTTCAATATAAGAAAATAAGAAAACAAAGTAAAAATACAAATCACAAAATTCACTGTGAAATTGCAACGAAATCCAAGTTTCCGTCGCAAGCTCAACGTCGACTTTGCAACAAAAAGAATTCATCATTGAAGCTCCCCTTTTACATACGAGAGAGATGTCAATTTGTTTCTATGCTAGATGTACAATTATTTAAACAATAATCGATGGACACATTCTCTTATACTATCTTGAGATATATTGAACTTAGACAAATGTTGCTAAATAAATAATGGATTCACAACAATAATCTTCGTCTATTCTTCTTTAGGTTGGCTATTGCCTATTGTTGATCAATTAGTTTGAATATGACGAATCAAGCTAAATTAATCACAACTTAGGGTCCTTCTAATATAACTTTTGCTTTTACTTATATTTCTAGTTGAAGAATTTTTGGAGGAAACTATCTTAATTTTTATTTGAAAACTAATATTTAAAAACATTTTCCATTTCGGAAGTACTTTTAAAAGAAGACATATTGAATCAGTTTCTTTTAAAAACTCTTTTAACTACCAAAATCACTTTAACAAAATTATTCAATGGGGTTCAAAAGCAACTTTTGTCTTTTCAAAACCCATGTTAAACGGGTCCTTAGTGTTTTGGAGCATGCAGGTTCCTGTTCGACTCCAATCTGTTGCCGTAGAATCATTATTCTAGGCTCAATAGATATAGACAAAATAAGTATGGTACCGCTAAAGTATCTTTTTCTTTACATGGAAGTCTGCGTAAACTCCCAAAATAAATAAATAAATAAATAATAAAAAAAGAGGAAACATTTACTTTTTTATAAACAGTCTGAGCATTACTTGTAATAGCAATACAGATTACATAGACACGTCAAACACATCACAATATGGCAAATACGCACACATGCACATGCTTTGTTCGTAGGAACAAGGCCATGGCTTATTTCAATAACATTTTATGTAACTTAAAGACGGAAAAACAAGCACTAAATGATACATTGATTGATGCTCCGTCAAGTCGAAAGAGTCATGCGATGGTCTGTTTCTCACTTCATCTCGAAGGAACTAATTCAAGGACTATTATTTTGTTTACATATATATTATTAATTATTGCGGCCGGGCAGTTTGTCCATGATCTTATCCATCATTCCCTTCTTCTCCTCGCCACGTTCTCCGGTAGCTTCATAACCTGCTGGAGTGGTATTCTTCGAAGCCAAATTGTAAGTTTGATCTTCCTTATTGCTACCGGTTAACTTGTCTTCTATTTTGTCCTTGAGTCCCTTCTTTCTCCTTCCACCTTGCCCATCGTCCTCCGAAGACTACAAATAATTACAACAATTATAAAATACAAAAATCTTTGAAATATTGAAAATTATATTTAAATAAATAAATGCGTCTTTTCTAACATTTATTTATTTATTTTCGATTGGTTAGTTCAATATAATATCTAAGTACGACTAGTTTAAAGTCTTGTGAAAATAAATCCTTGACGTATTCGTTGACAAGTCAAAAATTTATTGAAAGTGGAATTCTTTTGGTAAGTTTCATAGTAAACAATGTCAAAAATATGATTATTCTTCCTAAACCTTCGTTAGACCTATTAAAAGACGAAAAAGTGCGCCTCGAGGCATAACCCTGAGGTAATCTCAACAGTATAAGGATTCGATCCATGAGATATGAAATTGGATTTTTTATGAGCACCAATGTATAAACAAACTCTTATTCCCTCACCTATTGGGACATATCCCACGATTTATCTCTCTTTCGACACTCCAAGAGCAGGACAGTGGATGCCCTTAAAGTTGGGATTCAACTTTTAAAAGACAAAAAAGTGCTACACGTATAACATATTTGACAGTATGGTTGACAGCCTCTCAAATATAGGAGGAAATAGTCGTGGGACCCACGTTTATGAGAGGGCTACATTTCAATATTTAACCACGGGAAACCCCCCAATAAAATAAATATGGACACTACGACATTAATAAGATCAAATTTATCAGGCACTTGAGGGACATGTTAAAGACAAAATCTAAAGAAATGAAAACTCTAATCTTTAATGATACATACTTCTAAACGAGACGATTAATATTAAAATTTGAAGATTTCATCTTAAAAATGTGCTCCTAGAATTAACTTAATCCCTCAGAGTTGTATAATTATTTTATATTTATTCAGTAAGATTCATCCCATAATAGTTTAATAATATTCAACAAAAGGCAAGTGGAGCTTACGGAGCTGCCCGACCCAGAACGGCGGAGCTGCCCCTGATATTCACCAGTTAGGCTAGCGCCGTCAGTGGTGCCAGCACCAATCCCGCCGCCTTTATTTCCATATTCCCCTGTGGTGCCAAATTCTCCGACGTTACCTCCAGTGGCTCCATATTCTCCTGTGATACCTCCGGCGGCCTGGCGAACGGGGTTTCCATACTCGTCAGTCCGGCGTGTTTGATCAACGCATTGCTCTCCATATTCTGCCATTTCAACTGTACAATCAAATAACAAGCGGAAAAGGAAACTATAGCAGATTGTTAGCAATTTGATTGTCCCGCTACCACGTTTATATAAGAGCCATGGATCATGCAATGACTCTCTTTACTATGAAATGTGTCAGATATGTGTGGTGTCCGCACACTTCTTGGACACTCTTAAGACACGTCTTCGAACTAACAAATGTTTTTTTGTAAATCAATTCTGCTTTACCACATGACATTATTCAATTGGCCCCAAATATATTCACGTTCAATTTATTTCCCTGATTTTGACTTTGCAATGAATCACAATTTCTGGCCAAAACATTGTACCTAACATTTTATATGGAAACTATTATAATATGCACTATGATTTAAACTTTACACATTATTCAATTGGACAATTTAAGAAAAAAATCAGCCTGATTGACAATACAACAAAGGTCAATAATAGTGTAATAAATTATTGTACAAAGACCTTTACCCTTGGGAAACTATTTACCACATAAGGAGCATGTCCTCAACTTTTCAAGGGAATTAAAATAAAGTTAACCCTACAAATTTATTCCCAGTCTGATGAAATTAAAATTCAGATTTTAATTTAAATCAAAATCAACGATTAATTTAAATTACATATTTCAAGGGATTCATAACTTTTTAACTACACATTTTATCAATATTTATCAAACAGAGACTTAACGCCTAACATGTTATAAACCTATTATATGCATAATTCTTCGTTTAGTATAGTAATATAGTTATTTTAACCTAACAAATAACTACTCTGTGATTTTATAAACTTCACCAATAAAGATCAAAACATAAGATTAAGAAGTACGCAATTTTATAAAATTTAACTGACATGTTCTCAATATATCCGCATTATAATCTCAAACATTTCGTGTTTTGTCAGATTCTTGAATACCCTGAATGATAGAATGTTATTCGACTATTTAAAAACGGTCAATACCATAATCCAATTATTTTTTGCCACACACTTACTCTGTCAACTAAAGTATTAAATTCATTTGATAAAACAACATAACTCTTACGTGTCGATGTATTCTTTGTTGGACCATGCTACGTTATCTACCCCCACCTATCACAGTTTTCCCTCTGGCATTACCAGGGCCCATGTGGCCCTGGCAAAGGAGAATAACCCTTCCATGTTTCTTAGTGTAGTAGAGTGAAAGGGTGTCGGCAAGTTGAGTGATAACTCGTATAATTAGAACATTACAAGTGTTAGCAACATAATGGAGCCGACAGTGTCAAGTGTTTGCAGACTTTTGCTTGGAAAAATAAGCGAAGGACGTGTGTCTCCAATGGCAATCTTGAATTAAGATTGCTTATTAACTGAAAATTTTCTGGTGGGACACTACACCGCTAAAGAGACAAAATGGGGCTCCTTGCTGGCTCTTAGAAACAGTCTCACTGTGCACAAGTGTGAATTTGTTGTGATTGATTGAGTCCGTTCAAAGAAAACCCATCATTGTGGACATCAAAATCGGGCACAACTTAAAGTTATAATGCTAAAACGTTGAAGATTTAATGTGGTGCAGCTGCATATTTAACGTGACATCTACATGCTGTGTTAATGTTCATATTGACGTTTTCTGTCACGGAGAGATTCAAATTCACAAATTTAAATAGGTATAATCGAAAACCTCATTTTTTGAAGTTGGAGAGCTAAATCCCAACTAATTAAAAAGTTTGAAAGCTCAGCCATTATTTTTGTCTTGTAACTTTTTGTTAAGATATTTAAATGTACCAATATGATTTTATAATATATGATATCACTAACATCTTAGGTGTGGAGTTGAGATCTATTGCCCAACAATTCAAAATCTTCAGATTATTTTATTTAAAAATTGTTACACCTCATTCTACAAGAGATTATCTTATGACTTGCTGGCAACCGCAGTATGGAAGTTCGATTTGTGAGACATGAAATTGGATACCTTGTAGGTGCAATGTACAAGCAGCTCTTATTTCCTGACCTACTGGGGTACATCTCGCGATTTCCTCACTCACAAAGCTCTAACGGCGGGGCGGTGGGGGTTCACAAGATTGGGGTTCAACTCTTTTTCAAATAAAAATAAAAAGTCATGTAAGGCTCACACTTCACATCGTGTCCCTCATTTGCTATATTTGAAGCAGTTTGACAGGTGAACGAGGAAATTGAGGTGTCTCATCCGAAGCAAACGACACTTCTAGCGGTACTTTCGAGACGTGGTGCTACATCTTACTACAAGATATTGTCGAAGTGACCAATCTATGCCTGATAAAGAGTCTTTTGCAAACGTTGCCCCGATAGAATTTTTCGTACGATCTGCTAACGAATTTTGCAGCGCTTATAGTATACGACAAGTGAACTTTCTTGCATACTTTTCTAATTGTAGGCCTATCACAGAGGATGGCTATTTTTTATTTTTTTTATTTTTAACACACAAAACAAACAGCCCTTAATCTTTAGTAAAAAAAAAGGAAATTTACACTAGAGATTACGTCTCTCTGTCAATGCAATTTTTTTTTTGATATCCAGGTATCCACCTTACAGTGATTAAATTTTGGAGTCTACACCTTAGCCCCTCAAGTTGCAGACAGGTTAAATCGCAGGTTGTGCCCCAAATTGACCAGTGCTCAAGAGCCCTCCAACTGATCTGTCAAAGTGTCAAGCAAGTCGTTTCTCATCTTTGCTCCTTGCCTTTCAGTAGAGCTCCTGCCTTCCAGGATAAATCCTGCATTCCAGGAGTATATCTGCCTTCCAAGAACCTTCCAAGAATCGAACTCACGACCTCTGATCTGCCAGCCTTGAAGCACCCTCATTTTTGCTAGTTGGGATGTGCCCTCATCTCTGTCACTGTAATTTTCATCCCATTAAAAATGGTCTTAGGCCTATAACAGCTAGGATAACACATATCGAGCTTAACCCATGGATTCAATGAAAATTGCCTCTTTCCTTCAATTATAATCGCTCATACTTAGTGCCTTGCAAAGGTAATGCAACTTTGCATAGCATCCACATATCGCAAACAATATAATATTCTCTCTTCAACCCGAATCCTATTAGTCACATTTATTGTGCCTCTCCCACACCCAACATCATCAATCTTTTACTAACTTGAGTAATAGAGTGCCATAGCCTTTTCCTTCATTGCTAAAGCTATCACCACGTGCACCAATGCTTTGTCCAAATGTTCAAGTAACATATGCGTGAATGGAAGTGGTGTTAGAATCTGTTGGTCACATATCTCATCTACTTTTTATGTAAACCTAACATACATTAAGGCCATGAATAAAAAAAAAGTCTCACATAATTAACTCAAGCTTCTCCTTACTGCTACAATTCTGACCTTACAAAAAAATAAAAGGTAATGTGACCTTACACGTGGTGTGCTCATAGGCATTGGATCTTTGTTTTTGTGATCCATTTAATTAGGGCCTTAACCAATTTTCCCATGGGAAGTGCTACATGTACATAACTGTCTACATAATAGTATCCATAATTACACGTGGTACTGAGTCCAACCTTTAATTCAAATCTCGCACTTGCACATCAACAATCAGATGATTGGCACATCACATTATGGACACCATTATGTGCAATAATTATGTACAAATAGAATTTTCCTTTTTCCCATAGTAATGTGTGTGTGTGTGTGTGTGTGGTTTCATTCTCAGTCGTCTTTTAGGATTTTCTCTTCGATTCATGCTCCTCTCTGTAGACTCTTTAGTGATTTATGATGTACTAAGAGTATATTGATAGATTGAGTGAGTGGTTCACTGTGATGAACTTGTAAATTGCGAGTTAAGATAAACTTGAATAAACTTGTGGATTTTTTCGAACATTTGTACTGGACTAAATCTTTGCTTGACTTCAAAGATTTAGAGCATAATCTATTTTGTGGATGCTCAATGAGGGAGTAGTATTTAGAGGACTTGAACATTTGGACTTGCTGGTGGGTGAAAAATTCTTGTGTTAGATTTTCTTTAATTTTTTGCAAAATTTATTTTTGATAATTTTTTTAAATGATCGACCAACAGATTTATTAAAAAATGAGATATAAAAATAAAATAAAAAGAGGACACTGCACAACACCATTCTTTCACACGATCAACTAAATGTAGCTAAATTCATAGATCGATAAGGACCTAACTTACTAAAAATTTTGTTCAGTCCCGCTACACGTATAGCTGTACATCTTACCTTACGTTGCTGAGCTGGAAAATTGAGGGGGGGAAATAATACAGAATAGAAAAGGAAAATCTCCGATTTTTGTAGCCACTGACCCAATCTAACCCCTTCTTTCTCCTAAGTGAAATCCCCCTTTCCCATTTACAGAGAATGACGTGGAGAACCCAAGCCCTAAATTGACGCCCTAACTTTCGAACGACAACCCAAGTAATCGCCACCTCCGAGCGTCAAGAATCCAAGTTATTTCCTCCAACCTCCAACCGATCGCCACCTCCAGTCGAAGTGAAATCCCAGTTTCCCATTCGTGAAGAACAACGAAGAAAAAGGCATTGAAAACCCAAGTGACCGCGTACGATAAGCAAAAACAAGGCATCGACGAAGACCTTGATAAAAGGAAATTCTCGTGCATTACCTACTATTAGTGCAATTATAGATGGTACTAATTCTGTAGGTGTTTTTGTTGGACCTCTTAGTGCAATTTTAGACTTGTCTTATGGACCCCTTTTCTGATATTATCCCCCGTTTTTATCTCGTGCATTAACTGTGATGTTCATGTTTATTATTTCAATTATTTGTTATTGAAGTTCCTGTTGATTCATGTTGTGAGAGTAGAGGTTAAAGGAAAGCTGAATGATGAAAAATTGCTTTGGTTGAAGGAAAGTTGAATGATGAAAGATTTCCTGTTATTTCAAAAATGATTCATGTTGTGAGAGTGGAGGTTAACTCACCCATAGAACGATTTTCTCGTCTCCGATAGGATAAAAATAGATGAACCATTAGAGAAACTGGAACCCGTGTGTACTTCATTGAGCTTCCAAGTTGTATTGATTGAATCTGTTGTAAAATCTAGAACACACATAAATCACTTTATTCCTTTTAGATGTCGTATC